AAGATTCAAAACATGGAAAAAGGTTCTGGTCATGACTTACTTGTCTAGGAAGTATACTTTCTCAGATGCACAGCTCTTCACAGTACCTTTGACCAGAGAGACAGACAACTCCTACAGCTCACAGTTACCAGCCAGGATAAGAAAGGAGTGAATACTCATCTTTCTGTGATCTTTTTCCTTTCACAGAAAAATATGATATGTTGAGAAATTTTTTAGTTATAAAAGGTGATCAAGGCCAGGCATGGTGGCTTGTGCTTGTAATACTCACACTTTGAAATTCCAGGGGAGGAGGATCACATGAGATCAGGAGTTCAACACCAGCCTGAGCAATACAGCAAGACTTCAGTGTCTATAATGTTTTTTTAAATTATCCAGGCATGGTGGTGGTATGCACCTGTAGTCCCAGCTACTCAGGAGGCTAAAGTGGGAGGATCGCTTGAGTTCAGGAATTCGAGGCGGCAGTGAGCGATGAGCTATGATCCCACCACTGAACTCCAGCCTGGGCGACACAGCGAGACCTTGACTTTAAGAATAAAAATTTTTAACGATCAGACAAGAACTTACTTTTTATTCTTTCCAAATCTACCACATCTGATGTGGTGAAAACATAACAAAATAATGCTAAATTGCATCTGTACACAGTGCTTTTCATTTGTTGTTTTTCTTGTTGATGTTTGTTTTCGCTTTAAAGAAAAATCCCAACATTGAAGCTACATCCAAGAAAAGCACCTGCATTCTAGGTGTCTGTCCAAACCTATTCAAAAAATAAATTTTAAAAAATTATCTAAATTAGACATTATTAATTACATTGAATCATGCATACCTTTTAATTTAAAGCACTGGCCATTTGAAATGTCTCAAAGGAGTGAAATCACTGATATGAAAGGAAAGTGAAAAAGTTCAACCGCTCTTTATATTTTTGGACATTAAATAAACAGAAAAGAATCAAAGGGGGTCCTTGTGAAGGTGTGATAGTCTAACCCTATGGCCATAATGTCTTTGGGATACATCTTAACCTTTTAGAATTGTTCTCCTTTTTAGGGAGCAAAGGCAGTGTTGACAAGTTATAGCAGAAAACGGAATAGCTCCAGTCTCCAATTTTTCAGTGCACATTTAGAGCTGAGCATTTCTTACAGAGGGTAACTTCACATTTGCCCAAGAAATAATATCCTAGAATATGAATAAGAAATAAATATCCTCAGATTAACGCTATATAAATACATTTGCTATAGGTTTCATTAAATATTCATGATACACGCATGTACAGGTCAAATTACCTTTAAATATTAAATTTCTTTCCAGTGGTGGAGAATTTCAGATTTATACAGTGTTCATAAGGAGCAGAGATGGAACCTGCGCATTACTATCTGCTGGCAAATTCAGCTTCTGGTTTAACTGGGCCCCTAAGGTTAGAGGGACTTCACTCACAAAACTGTGAAATTGCCGCAAGTGTCTTGTCTCTGTCTTACAAATCTCAACTGGAACTTAAAGATGTACTAAAACCATAAGTATTTTACACATATTTTAAAGAAGAAATGGACTGTTTGGTGCCTTGTGCATAATATGCCTCAGGCACATTACACAAATCTCATTTAATACAGCCAGGCCACTGAAGCAGGAATTATTATCCTGCCACAAGATGCAAGTGATAAAAGAAAGGTTCAGAGAGACATCCTAAGTTGTGTGAGATCACAAGAAATAGCAGAATCTGGATGGAAACCTGGTTCCACAGGACCCAGAAGGCCAAGTCTGTCACTGGTAATGTCAACTGTCACACAGCACACCATGGATCACAAGGTTTTCAAATCATTAACAACTTGAAGAAGTCAAGTATTGGAGAGCATCCCCCATCCATGTACTGCACTGAGGAAATGCCCTGGGGGATTCGAGTCAGTGTCAGTCTATGTGGGTGACTCCCATATTGGTTCCTAGGACCCACTCCCACTGTTCCTACCATTGAGACTTTTGTTGTTTCCCCAAATAAGCTTTACACAGCGTTATGGAGCCACTTGGAGAGTATGGGAAAAGGCATTCAGCATACAGATTTAAACATATTCCTAGGCTGACCCAATCATTTATCATCCAAACTAGGACACATTTTTGAGAGCTATTAATAATTATGCTGGGACAACAGGTGTAAACCAAGACTGTCCCAGGCAGAGTGAGATGAATGATCATCTGACATATACCCTTTCATAAAGCCAAACTATTTCATCCTTCATACATAACTAGATTGTAGAAACTTTACAATTATCTTGATAGAAACACAGGTGAACTGTTTCTATATACTAAAGGTGTTATTGTGATAAACGTAAAAATGTTAAGTATGCCACAAAATCCATAAGCCTGTTTTTCAATTCCTTATTTTCTGATATGCCAATAAGCTCAAAATAATTGAAAATGGTGCAGAACTCCTTGAACTTTGGAGAGGCTCTATCTACATCCCTAGACCTGACCGTGTCCCAGGTTCTGTTATTACAGGTTAAATTGCCTGGACATTCCCACTTCTGCATCACTTCAAACTCAGTAACAGTAAAAGCGAACTCCATTGAGATGAATTCATCTTCCCCTGACTGTGTAGGGACATTAGGTGACTACCTGTCGTCCTACTGTCTTAGGGTCCAACACCTGGCTAAGGTATCACAGTGTGACACTTTGCAATTTTCCAGCTACAAGGGAAGAAGAAGAGGGGAGAGATGTAAATGAGAGCCAGGGCCAGAATCCCTGTTTGGTGGCACGACCCATGGCCTCTGCTGTCTGTGATTTCTCACACTCCCCAGGGCAGGGTGCACAAGCTGCAATGTCAAAGAGAACTCCAGGAGCAGGGCGGATAGCCAGGCACCTGAGCCTCTGCTGGCAGCGTGGAGAGACTGAGGGAAGTGGCTTCTGGGGAAGGGGAGGTGTCAAGGATGCATGCTGGTTTCCCATCTGACACTTACCTGCAGCGCCATCTGGAACACCTACTCAGAGCCGGGAAGTCCTGTGGCCTCTGGGGGAAATGGGAGCCGGAGCCCTCCGCTGCAACCCCATAGATCCTGAGTTCACGGATGCCTGGTCTGAAAAAGCAGCAGCAACTGCCAGTTATACAATCCCACCAAGATAAAGACACCCTTCCAGAACCCTCTCCCAGGCTGTGATCCCCAGTGACTGTTTAGGAGGCCTCCTCTACAGCTGCCCCCTTCCACCTGATTGAATGCATCCCTTCCCACACAGGCACTCACATCAACACTGGTACACACACACACACACACCATGTAATGTTCCTACAACTTTAAACCCAAGTCTCACAAGATTGTAAGGCCCCTTTTGGTGCAAAGTACACCCTCATAAAAGGCAAAAATGCTAACAAACAATTATTCAAATGATGATCATTACTGTAAGAAAAATGCAATTGGTGCCCTGAGAAGAGATGAGACATGACAGGCATCAGTGAGTCCCATAAGACCATGAGATGATCCCCTAAACTGCAGGCAACCACTTCTCTGATTATCCATGTGGTAGCAACAGAGTGGCCCAGGACCCTGATGCCCTTGACCACCCCCTCTGGTCACTAAGTGTGTTCCTTATCTGTCTGGTCTACCTGTCTTGCTGGTCTCCATGTTAGAAGCAGGTTATTATAACCCATGAGGGAACCTTGCTGGGTCCCCATACCATTGAGTGTCCATGAACCACTTACTAGGCTGCCACATGAGAAGAGAAGAAACTTCTGTTGGTTCAAGCCACTCTATTTCAAGGTCCCTCTGTTAGAGAAACAAAACCTGCATCTAATTAATACAGTTGATCTGCACACATTTTTATGTTACATCTTGAAAATGGGGCATTGTTATCCCATTCTACACATAAGGAAGCTGAAGTTCAAAACGTTGACTTACCTTCTTAAATCACATAACTAATGAAATAGCCTAAATTTCAATACGTTTTAGGGGCAAGACTGCATTTGGGAATTTTGCTTAAGCAACTGCATATTTGCTCTTAACAATCACAAATGAATATTTTCCAATTGTTACTGAAAGCCACTTTTGTTTCTGGAAAATATAGAGAAAAGGAGCCTGCATTCAGTGACCATCAAGTTTCCTAACTGCTGTAAGATTAGAAAATTGTTTAGCAAGCGGAATATTGCTAGTGAAATAAAAGTGAGTCATTTCTTGTGTTTAAAGAGGCTTGTAGCATATCTTAAAATAATTGGTGTTATCTTTAAAAGTGAGTTATTGCAGCATCAGAGCTGAGGATGACAGAGAATCACAATGCTGATGGCCTTGTCTGGCGAATAAACTACTCATATAGGAACTTTTTTTTAACTCCATGACTACATTTTTGTGTTCTCTAAGACTAAATTATTTTCTTCTCATAGATTTCTTGAATACAGAATCCCTGTAGGATTCGTCTTTTTACCTACAAAACTGCTCACCTAGTTCTGAGCATGGAATAGATGCTTAAAATGTTCTTATTCACTTAAAGTATACAATATTCCAGTGATAGTTCTAGCCTCTGAGAGTCACAAGCCCTTGCATGGCATTTTACAGTTTATAAGTCACTTTTATAAATGATATTTGAGGTACAATTACTATTATTATCTTCTACGTAAGACAGAAGCTAGAGCTGAGAAAACTGTAAAGGGTTTCCGAAGATGTCGCGGCTTTTCAATGCCCTGTCTCGATAAGCTCTGTGTTCATCTTTTCACACCCGATCCTATAATCGTGTTTGGATGCCATGGTAGATGTTACAGAATGAATGGATGCATCAATCAATCAGTCAGTCAACGAAACCATCAGAAAATGAGCAGTAAAATCATGTTGTAAAGCAACCAGCTAATTGGTGATCACTGCCAAGGTTATTATTTATGTGTTCTTAATTATTTTTTTCAGACAAGAATAAGGCAGATGAAAACCATAAGCAAAAACACAGCAAACAGAAAAGAGATTCCACCAAAAGCAATCATCACGAAAATGTCTCCAGCGAGATTCCCATTGTTGTGAAGGGACATGTAAGTATATTTGCACTCAAACAGCTTCAGAAGTGCTTGCCTGATGAAAAGGACTCACCAAGAGCTGAAGAGTTTGGCATCACAGTCCAAGTGGTTCCTTGTTGGCAATGGCCATTGTCATCATAAGGCTGGATTTAACTTCAGAAGTACTGCATGCCATCTGGCTCCAAAGAGCAAATCTATTTTTATAATATCAAATTTGCAATAAGGGAAAACTACAAACATGCTCAGAGTTGGATGAGCTTCCATTTTTAACACAACTGACTTTCCCCAGTCTTCCTGGGGCCCCAAGCTGGGTGGGCTTTATTCCCTCTTTATTTCCCTCTGCTCCAGGCCTTATCTGTGTTAGGTTGTATGATTAGGATCCTAAAGTCACCGAACAAACAGGGTAGGATTCTCCATAACAGACCTTTTGTTCATATACATTTCACTGGCTTTCGTTGGAGAAGTCAGAGAATGGCTATCATCTCCACACTAATAATATCCTTCAGTAAATGATAAAGTCAAGTCCAAAGTAAACTGAGAAGCTTTATCAGCATGTCAAAGCTATCCCCTTACAGCTCTGTACTTGCCAACTGTGCATCCTTTTCCTAGACAAAGACTTGATGCACATTAAAAGGCACTTACCAGAGTGGGTGTTTGTTTGCCAAAGGAGAGCAGGCTGCCCTCTGATTCCAGGCACCCCGGTCGTCACTCTCATCAGAGGAAGGGAGGTATACTTTACAGCTAGACTCCTCCCTTGATGATCTCTTGAATCAAGTCAGGGGGAGATTCAGAGCTTCCTGCCAAGTTATTCCTTCTCTTTCTCCTTGTTAATATTAACTGATGGACTTCTCAGAGGGACAGTGTATTTCTCACTGTGAATAGAGAGAACGCTGTGGTCGACCAGTTACTCTTCCACCCTGTTGTCAGAGAAGATGCGTCAAAAGGGATTTACACACCCAGTTAATTCTAACAGATGGCCCTTCCCCTGTATTCTGAGAGAAGTTGAAAATCAATCCACATTTATCTCCAATTCCAAATTAGGCAAATTAGCACACTGGCCTTGATTTTTGGTAAGCAGATTTAGCAAAATGGACACAGTGAAAAAGATTAAAGATGCAAAAAATTTAGAAAGGCCCCATCTCACTTAAAATGCGGTGCCTCTGCCCACACTTTTGATACACAAATGATGCTTATCCGTAAAGCAGTGAAAACACTGATCATTTTTTTCTTTCCTTTCGTGTGTGTGTGTGTGTGTGTGTGTGTGTGTGTGTGAGATTTATCACCCTGTGTCCGGAAACGGTGGCTGTATACATGCATATGCTTGTATAATTTGCGCATATGAATATGTAAATACACAGGATATATTGCGCATACATCACACATCCAAATAGCATGTGGGTCTGTGTAGCCAATAACAGGAACAATGGGATGCTGCCTACACTAGGAAACAACAATATATTGCGGGTTTTCTTGGCTTTTTTGCAACTGTGGACAAACATTCCCCCAGGAGTGGATGGCTCAGGGAAGGTGCGACGGGATATGAAGTCTTTCGTCATAAAATCCCCATCTAAAAATCCTGTCACAATTGATAGGGACTGAAGTGTATATAACACTGTTGCTGTGTTGGTTTCATTCCAAACACAGCATGCTTCTGAATGATCTGTCATTACCATCAGACCTGAAGAAAAGCAAAGCATCCGAGAGAAACCTCTCATTGCCACCTATAGGCTGCAGAAGGAAGGTCCAGGTGACAGCTGCAAGGCTCTGTGAAGCAGCAGGAGGAGATGTTCTGGAGGTCACCAGTTCAGTCACATTTCCACCACCTTCTTCGTTCTTTCAAAAAGCATCTCTTGTGCCGGAATTGGGCTAGATGTTGAGAAGAATGCAAAGGTGAAGAAGAAACATATTCTTCATCTTTGGGAGAACGTGTTCTGAGGATTGGAGTGAGACCACTGCAGAGCCAAGTACTTTGACAGATGCTCAGGACAAAGGGGTCATCCTGGAAGAGGTGATATTTGAGCCCTGATATGCACTTTCAAGGGCCAGCAGAAGTTTCCCAGGTAGAAGAGAGGAATTGTTTTCCAGGTCAAGAGAAATGGCATAAACAAAGGGGCATCAGCATAGAAAATATGCAGCAGGTTATAGGAAATACAAGAAGTTCTATGTGCAACTGGAAACTTGCCTTCACTACACATCCAGGGAACAGGGTAGCCTGAGAAGGAAAATCAGATTGTGAAAGGAAGAAAGCCAGACTTCAAAAGGCCTCAAGTGCCATGCTATGCTATTTAGAGTTTATCCTACAGTCAAGATCGCCTCCTCTTCTGAGCCTACATTATCACTTGGTTATGAGACTAATGCTGACCCATTTGGGCTACATACAGAATCATCAGTAGCCTGACCAACAAAGCAAGAATCAACAGATCGAAAGAGACAACAGTATGCAATCAGGGTTCAAACTGCCCCCATGCTCCAAATCATTAGTTTCTATAAAAGTAAATTCTATACCATTCTGAAACTTATTCTGTCAGCATTTGCTTCTCTTAAATGGTTTGCAGAGTGAGAACCTTTATTATCCCACCACTATAACCACCATATTTTGGGGTGTCTAACTCTCACTTTTTCCTTCCTTGAGAACCTTCCCTCATCCAAAGAAAGGCCCCTCAGTGGCCAAGTGTGAGTGTTACAATCCTGCATCCCTGGACACAGGATGTGACATTATCTGACCAACCCCTCGTCCAAGTTGGACCAGTCGGCTTCTCTTTTTACATGAACTTCTTTACATTAACAGAGAGTATGGAGCTGAGTCAACTGATGGTGTGTCTCCAGAGGGAGGCTGAAAATCAACTGCTTTTTGAGTCACATTGGTTCAATCCTTCCATGACACTTTCAGTATCTTTCCAATGAATATCCTTTTTTTTTTTTTTTTTTGCTTAAACTAGCTCAAGTTCTTTTCTGTTGATTACCAACCAAAAGACATAACTCAGTTTGTTTTATTTTTACAGTTTATTACTGTTAATTAATAAAAATCTTTTCAGTGATTTTCCCTTGGGAAATAACGATGCATTCCCAAGAAAAATCTCCCATTATTTTCAGAGTGATAGCATGGGAGGCCAGAAAACATCCAGCCCAAATTTGATTCTAAGTTCCCTGAGGAAAATGACATTTTGCATGTTTTCAGTATCACACCTGAGTAGCAACTAACTAGCTATTTCCATCACTCAACCACTCACAAAATAAGGACATCATTTTTTATGAAAATTTTGGCCAGGCGCGGTGGATCACGCCTGTAATCCCAGTACTTCGGGAGGCTGAGGCAGGCGGATCATCGAGTCAGGAGATCGAGAACATCCTGGATAACATGGTGAAACCCTGTCTCTACTAAAAATACAAAAAAAAAAAAAAAAAAAAAATTAGCCAGGCGTGGGTGGTGGACGCCTGTAGTCCCAGCTAAGGTAGGAGAATGGCGTGAACCCGGAAGGCAGAGCTTGCAGTGAGCCGAGATCGTGCCACTGCACTCCAGCCTGGGGTGACAGAGTGAGACTCCGTCTAAAAAAAAAGAAAGAAAAGAAAATTTTAAGACCCAGTAACCTACCAGAAGGAAGATCCTAATACCAAATTTTAAGAATAAGAGAGGTGTATCCATTTCTATGTTTATGTCCACTTGTGTACAGCTGGCTTTATCTGGTTCATTAGCATGTGTAAGAATGGCTACTAGCATTTTGCATCTACCTAACACCTTAAAGAAAATGCTGAGCAGCCTGTTTAACATTGCCAACATCTTCATAAATTAGCCTGTCATTTGAGCTGAGTTTTATCCGGAGAAGACATTCAGGAACTCTCACTGTGGCTCAGTATTCCAAATGAAAAGCTTTGCCCATCATTATGAACTCCCTCTGCCCTCCTAGCTTCTCTCTTCCTGAGCTGCCATATGGGTAGAGATGCATTAGAGCATTGCCAAAAACTGCTTCTTCCAACAATAGGTGTCACTATGTGACAGCATCCATAGATTAAGCTGTTACTTCTGGGTGGTGACAGGGCCAGAATAAAGGGTCCCAAAGACTTTAGATTTAGTAGCGCTTGAGATGTGGTGGTTGAGCCGTGTATGGTTTATATTCTAACCAAACTGATTCACATGCGCCCTAATCTCTGCTGTCTAATGAGCCACTGTGATTGGGGAGAATCAACAGTGAACATCTTGCCAGTGTCCTGGCAGTGCCTGAGATAAAGAGCTTGGAAAGGCTTTTACTAAAAGGCAGCTGTGAAACAGTTCGAGTCAAAATGCAAGTTTCAACTCAATATTCTCACCAAGGAACAAAATATAAACAGCTATCACCCATTATAACGATTAATTCTCCCATCTCATTGTTGAAAGGGTTTCAGTTCTGAATCTCCCTCTCCCCATCAGATAGAGTATGAGATATGTTGAGAGGAGATTGTTAAAGCCTAGACTGTAGAATTTTATCTGGTCATCTGAGTCACTGAGAAAGCCCCAAGCGCTCTTCTTTTACATGTATTATAATAAAACAAATTATTCTGGTGTCACAGACCTTGAATACCTACTAACCTTGATAAGCACTTACATCTAAACAAAAAGAGAATCAATTTGCATTTTCCTTTCTGCTGGCTAACATAATGCTTCATTTTACAGTTGCCATTAAGGGTTACTGCTATCTTTACATACCACATTAGGCAGTTTGTGTCCATTGTTCATGCATAGTTCCATCAGAATGTTTCAGGTTGAAGGCATTTTCACAATGATGCTGCTTTTGTCCTGCCCCAATGCTATTATCTTGACTGTGTTTATCCCAACAGGTCTCTTCAAGACCTGAAAACTGTCCTCTGTGAAAACATGTCAGTCATCACCTCCACTCACAACTGGAATTAACAGTGCTCAAGGTCTCAGGGTGCGTGCGCCCACACACACACACACACACACACACACACACACATACATGGTTGGCTTACCTGGGTGGCCAGATATGTAAAGTTGCAAAGCTTCTTGAATTGACCTTAATGAATTAAAACCTGCATAGGCAGAAGAAATCTCTCGAACAAACCATAGATTTCCAAACCATCTCACCAGGCTGACAAAAGCTTCAAACCGTGCCAAGCTCACCCTTTGAATTAGCATTTTCTCTCGTGATCTATGGCCTCTTAATTTTCTGGGGCAGAGGAAGCAGACCGCAGGCATTCATTAAGCAAGCATCTATATATGGGAATAAATGGGAAGCATATTCCTTCTGAAAACCACAAATACTTGAGTTAGAACAATTGAGAAATGGTCAGTGGCAGGTAGAATAACACAATTATTATAGATATAACCTTTTGGGAGGTAAAGACAGAAAGTCTTAACCTAGAAAGAAAGATTCACTCGATGAAAAAGAATGACCAGCCAAGACCCATTTCACAATGTAAAGGCATAGAAGGAGTGGTTGCAGAACACCATTCCAACATTGACAAATAGCTTGGTCAGAGATCAAAAATGAAAGCGTAAAATATTGATATTTTAAAATTGAGTTTTCGTAATAAAAAAACGCAAAAGATCCATTTTCTCTAGGTATATTTGGCAATCACATTTCAATGTATATTCAGCTATTTTTTATTCTATATTAGTTCTGTATTATTTTTATGCCTCATTCCATTTTAAATCAATAAAAAATATGTCGAATATTTTTACATCTGTGAAAAGACAGAATCTGGA